ACATCGACAAATAGAGCATCGCTCTCTCGAGGCCCGACATAAGAGCAGATCTTTTCCAGATCCATCATCTCGGAGTCACTGAGAGTAACTGGCCTCAAAGCATCGTCGTTCACCTCCGGCCAGTCCGAGCAGGCAAAGACGTTGTCGCCGCCATAGACCCACACGAACTGCCTCCTCCAGTCCTCATCCAACTCCAAAGAATCAGAAACAAGCTGAAACTCCCCCCGATAGTGGAGAGAGTAATGTGGGTCCTTTTCAGCTGACCCCATGCTGATCATATGCCCAAGCACTCTTAATCATGGTTGGACTCCAACACGGTGGCAGATGATGATAAAAACCACCAGAATTTCCATTGTGTTCGGATAGAACTAGGAAGGGGGGACCCCTAGAGCAGTATGCACCTCCTTGATAAAAGGGTGCAATGGCAGCCATAAGCCGTACTCCAAATGGGCTAAGTATAGCAGCACTCGACCCTCACCATGGTAGTACACTGGCTCGCTCATCTCTGGTACCGCCAAAGTGAAAATCCAAGGGATATTGTATCAGTCATACAACCCTACCAGATCATCCATATGAACCATAGAGCAGATAAGGAAAAGAGAAGCAATGCTCTCCTCGCTACGGCCAGAGTTCGAAGCTTAGGAAGCCATGAAAGATTTTTTTCTTAAAAAGCTTAGAGGAATATCGAAAACTTTTCTAGAAGCAAAGGTTCGTAAAAGAACTATCTCATCATCAAGAAGTTATTTATAAGCTTTCAAGAAAGAATACGAAGGGATTTTCAAAAGATGCAGCAGTTTTTGAAACAACCAGGCCAGACCCACATCAGAATCTGAAGCGATTTACTCAAAACACGAAGCACCACCCTCATTTAATGCCCCACGCTCCAATACTCGAAGAGTGGAAGATCCTTCCTTTTATCAATGACGCTTCATCTCCTAAAAAGACGGTTCAGATCTTTCGATAACGTCAGTCATGAATAGCGGAGTTAGCAATGGATGCCCAATAATGACAAGACACATCTCTAAGACAGAAACTTTTCAGTTTCTCGCTTTTCAGTAGACCTGTATTGATCAAAACATATCTTACTTCTCTTAGAGTCGACTAAAAGCCAACTCCAAGTGAAAGGGGCCAACTGTTATGGTGTTCACTCACCCAAGATACAATATTTATGAAATGATATGATAAGAGTCCTAAGCAAAACAAGCTCAACCCTTTGGCTGACTCTCACGGTCATCTCTCGGCCTTAGGGGAAAGAAAGACCTAGTCAACTCTTAAGAGTTCTAGGCACAATGACTCCTAAGTCTAATATCAAGACCTCGGCTTTTTATTAAGGGATAAGCCCAAGGCATAATTACAGAGGTCTCGGCACCACCAAATCGTCAAATAGGCACCCTGGTGTCGACACAAGAGGCGATACTAGCCGATACAAGAGATCCTGACATACCAGATAAGTCGGCATCTTTATACCGACTCAAAAGACGGTTATTAAGCTAAAATAAGATGATGTTTCGCCCAGTTGAACAGACCGGCACTCCTAAGTTGACACGAAAGGTGGTGCCGGTCGACCTTCTTATCATGGACAACCCTATTTAAGGCAGTCAACCACTCACTGGACATTCCTCAGAGACGACTTAAGGGACGTTCCCTGCTGACGATTAAGTTGAGGACTCGGCCCCGGCCTCAAGCCTCTCATCCAGAGCAAAAGATGATTACCCAATCGATCAACCGACCCTTTTCCCAAGGGCGACTCAGAATATTATTTCTCAGCATTATTTTAACAGTTTATGATCATCATTACAACTCTACGTCACCCGCCGACAAGCCTCAATGACTGCTGATTCCCCATACCACAGAAGTGACCCCACGTCACTCGTCGACAAGCCTCGACGGTTGCTGATTCCACATACTACAGAAGTGACCCCACGTGACCCCACGTCACTCGTCGATAAGCCTCGACGGCTACTGATTCCCCATATCACAGAAGTGACCCCACGTCACTTGTCGACAAGCATCGACGGCTGCTGATTCCCCATACCACAGAAGTGACTCCACGTCACTCACCAATCGACACGTATCAAGTACAGGGTGACTCAGCCTCCAGCTCACCCCTCGCTACCATCATAAATTGTATTCTCATTAGATGCTGATTCGGCCCTTGGCATCCTATATAAATACATATGCTATTCGTCATGAAAAGAGGTTGGATTCTCCTTACTACTTAAAAACTACACCTTTTATTTTGGGGAGGATACACTGCTCTTCCTTCACCCCACCCAAGTCTGATAGCTAACTTGACCGTCGGAGGTACCACGGGGAAACAAGCCTCGTACTTCGACGATTCTTGTATGTGCAGGTGGTCCGTCCGCCCCGAGTTCTAAGAACCAGACATAAAGTCGAAGAAGGAAAGCGACCCCCTCTCGACGATTCAACATCTCGACGATCCAGTAACTCGACAACCCCTATTGACTGTTTGTTTACGAGCATCAACAGTTTGACGCTCACCGTGGGGTTATTTTCCTATTGGCTATGTGATTCCAGATATCAACAGTTTGGCGCCCACCGTGGGGCTACTTTCCTCTTTTTGAGAAAAAATGACAGGTTCTGAGCGAGGAGTGGACCAATCTCCTCCGAAGGTGGCTCCTAATTGGGAGGGACCCTACACTGTCAACGAGGAACTCAGAGCTGGCACTTATCGGTTGAGAGCTCCAGATGGACGAATCCTCATCCATGGAGCATTGAACACCTACAATGGTATTTCCTTTAAGATTTCAGTTTAATCTCTTGAATGTTGAAAATTCCCTATGAAGAATACATGCCTTAGATAATTGATAATATATCTGATGAAACGGCTTTAGCCAAACTTTTGTGTCACCATAATAACTAAAAAATGGAAGACCTAGTCAGCTAGGCACCCGACTTCTCAGTCGATGAAAAGTCCTTGGTACTTCCTTAGGGTAAGACCAAGGCACAACCCTTTGACCGACTCTCACAGTCGCCTCTCGGCCCTAGGGGAAAATGGAAGACCTAGTCAGCTAGGCAACCGACTCCTCAGTCGATGAAAAATCCTTGGTACATCCTCAGGGTAAAACCACGACACAACCCTCTGGCCGAGTCGACTTCATTCTAAGACGACTCGAAGGGCGGACTCAGTCGAGCAAAAGATGATTACCCAATCGATCAACCGACCATTTTCCCAAGGGCGACTCGGAATATTATTTCTCAGCATTATTTTAACAGTTTATGATCATCATTACAACTCCACGTCACCCACCGACAAGCCTCAACGACTGCTGATTCCCCATACCACAGAAGTGACCCCACGTCACTCATCGACAAGCCTCGACGGCTGCTGATTCTCCATACCACAGAAGTGACTCCACGTCACTCACCAATAGACACGTATCGAGCAGAGGGTGACTCAGCCTCCAGCTCACCCCTCGCCATCATCATAAACTGCATTCTCACTAGATGTCGATTCGGCCCTTGGCATCCTATATAAATACATATGCTATTCGTCTGAAAAGAGGTTGGATTCTCCTTACTACTTAAAAACTACACCTTTTATTTTGGGGAAGATACATTGTTCTTCCTTCACCCCACCCAAGTCTGATAGCTGGCTTGACCGTCGGAGGTACCACGGGGGGAAACAAGCCCCGTACTCCCACGATTCTTGTATGTGCAGGTGGTCCGTCCGCCCCGAGCTCTAAGAACCAGGCATAAAGTCGAAGAAGGAAAGCTGCCCCCTCTTGACGATTCAACATCTCGACGATCCAATAACTCGTTAACCCCCATCGACTGTTTGTTTACGAGCATCAACTCATATCACAAGGGAGAACACCCTCCTTCGAGCCACCACACATTCATATTCAGCAATGGGTAGCTCCAACTTCACCCCATTACATCTATGGGAGGTCCAATCCTCACCTCAGTACCAAGCCTAATTGAACTAAGCCAAGAAAAACCCCGAATCCTATTGGGCGTCCCCTATTGTCTCCCATGGATCATGTAAAAAAGCACGAGCGATGCAATACCCATCAAATAAATGAACATTAAAGGCACGAGTGATACAGACACCGCGGTCAGTTCTTGTTCCTTTGAATCCAAAGCCCCAACACCCAAACATTAGACCACCTGCACGCACGGGGCAAAGAAAAAAAAGGAACAAATAATAATAATAATAATAATTTGGTGAGCAATGTTACTTTTTCAACTTCAGTGTGAATGGTCTTTTGAGACTCGTCCTTTAACTCTCCTCCACAAACCTCCCGATGATATTTTTTTTTTCCACGACTGCAGTTGTTTGATGGGCACACGGTGATGAAAAACTTCACCTAATACAAATTTACCTCAAAGCTCTCGCACATGAAACAGTACAATATGAGCAGTAAGTGATACAGTAGGGGAAGAAAACAAAGTAGCAGCAAAATGAAAACTTTTGTCAAATGGCTAACAGAGCAGGTTACACGTGAACTTTAGGCGTAAGAATATTCCTAGATTTAATTTTGCAATAAGACCAAATATGGTGAGGCCTGGACTTCACACCACAAAATTGTGTCACTAAAACAACACAAAATACTGCAAGGCTCTGCAGACCAAGGGGCCCTTGGATGCACCCTCATTTGTCTCCATAGGAGAATATATCAGAAAAGGTCACATTCTATACTTTGGAAGTGGAGGACAAGATTTGGATGCTTGCTGAAGTGTCATCGTGCACTCAGCAAGTTTAAGTATATCCTCAAGCTATTGGTCATGCTCAACTCCCCTTAAGGTGGAAAAAACCCATAGACAAGACTCAAAAAATAATAATAAAATGAAAACCTTAAATAACAATTGAATTGTTAATGCCAATTGCAGCGTGGTGGCTATGAGCTTCAATCTCTACACGCATATAAACCCAACACGACGAAGAATCTACTGAGTTCAAAATCAAGATACTGCAACCAACATTACATTAGAAATCATATGACATCCATCAATAACTCATGTCGCTACACCAAATCTTCAAAGTTATGGTGTGGTAAGGATTATATTTTGATAATTCAACGTATGTCACCCCACACATTGAGGGTTTTTTCTTATAAATCCAAACTCAAGCTACGATATCAATTATTTTAAAATATGCTTTAAATTTGTGGCCAACAGGAATTGAACCTAGACTGCTCTGCTTCCATGTTAATAATCCAACTCATTACACCAGAGCTCTGAAGTTTGATGAGGGTTAAGGACTATATTTTTGTCTAACAAACGTCATAATCTTTGTTTGTAACAGACCAGTGAGTGCTATTATACAAATCTGATCTTCTACATTAGTTGCTTCTCTTGTTCAGACTTAAAAACAAGCCACATGTTATGTCAGAATTGTTCTTCAATCCCATGCTCATTCCTCTGCATACAAATCAGCCAGCCACACAATTTCCACCAATAGTCTGATCAATTGCCTGCAACGACTGCTGCCATTGGACATCATCACAAAGCTACGAATGAAACAAGTTGCCAGCACTTCAGAAATCATTGTCGTTGATAGAATGGGACTCCACAGATCACAATAATATCCTCACTGGGCCCAATTGCCAGATCATATTGTGTTCATGTCTTGAATTATTAAGATCGAAATGAGCGCACTGATGTAATTAATCATGCACTGGTACAGAAAATGTTTAATACTCTCGAGAAGTGGGAAAGGATACATCCTTTTCGCAGGACTAGGCAGTTGATCATTGCTCACTCTTTGATCTGGAGTCTATGCTTTCAGCTGTATAATGACTGCATGATTGACTTACAGGCATGCCACGGGACCTCAGCACTGCTTCTAGAGAAGGACCTAAGCTCAATAGATGGATGCATCGCCAGTTTGTATCCTTAAGTTATATTTCCAAACCTCTGACATTATTGGCAGCTGAAAACAATGAAACAGTGTTAAGTACAATAACTTGAAGAAAAGGCATCTATCAACAGAACCAGGGATCACTACAAGAAATCTGCTATTTAACGACCAAAATTAGTGAAGGGAACAGTTGCCCGTCATTAATGTGCATATAATAACGACGGGTTTTAAACCCTTCGTCGAGTGATTACAAATAATAGAGAAATATTGTGATATGGGATAACGGTTTTCTAATCCCTTCGTTGATTTGATCCTACTACCGTCGTTATTGGGTCTCCTTAAAAATGAAGGGGTCCATTACCTTCATTGATGGGACTTCTAATCATAATTGGACTGAAATTAACCTATTTCTATTAACAAATCCCATAACCAAACCCGAAGCCCCAACTAAAACCCAAAACCGAATTTTACAAACCCACAAATCCTAATCATCCTCTAACCGCAAAAATAATGATTTAAACCCTAGTTAAAAAAATCCACCTCCTTATCATCGCCCCACTACCACGAATTTACTCTATGACAACGGTTCAGTGGTAACGATTTCTAATCGTTGCGCTTGACCCCAAGCGTGACGGTTCTGCAACGTTTTTCACCATTATTTTTGGGTTTAAAGAGCACTTGAGTTGGAAGCGTCGCGCTTGCCTCTACTTTTGGGCGCCTTAACTTTTTAATGCCCGCTCAAGCACTGAAATATAAATCGCGTGTTTTTGTTTTTTAATCAAAAAATCCCCAAATTTAAACCCTCACTTTCTATGTTTCTTCTCGCCGCCACCACATCCTCCCTTCAACGATCCATCTCCGATCCCCCCCCCACCACCTACGCCTCCGCCTACAAGACCATACCCTCTGGCCTCGTCTATGCCATTTCCCTCCATTCATCCAAGTGCAAAGGTTTAGTCTCATATCTCCCCCTTTCCTCTTCGACCGGTCACCCTCACTTGAAGCTGAGCTCAGTGCACTGTGGATCTCTGAATCTCTCATCTCCAATCTCTCAATCGTGTCTAATTTGCTAACTTTTTTGTTTATGGCATCTTTGTTTAGGCATCAGAGAAGAAACTCTCGAACCCAATGGGGGAGATTAAGATCCATTAATTGGTCTTCAGTATTTCAGTTGGAGAGAACGGAGATATAAAATCCTCTGAGGTATCGATCGTCAATCTCTTGTTTAGATTTAGGGCTTATGAATTACTGCAAAAGTTGATTTTGTGTGTGTGCTTATTTAGGGTTAGGGTTTCAATCCTAAATGGCCCTCTGATGACAGGAAGCAACACATCAAGATCCCTAAACCCTCTCAGATAAAAATTTACTTGACTACACTTTGGTTGCTTTTCTCTATGACCTAAAAAAAATTCAATTTGAATGTCTCACTCTCTTTCTTTGCTTATTTGCTTTCTAGGGGTTGCTGGTGGAGCACTGTGATTGGTGTCGAAGAGTCAGAGAGCTTTTGCAGCAAGTTATGCCACCATTCATGCTATCATCGTCGGCTGCTACTATGGTCTATTACTTCTTACTAGTTTTCTTATTCAAATGTAAGATAGTTGAGATTTTTTGTTGTGATAGATCTTGGCATGCAGCGTTCACCAATTTTTTGTGACTTTTGATCAGTAATTTTGAGTGAAGGTCATTTTCGCTTCAAAAGCAAGGTTGGGATAAGCTGAAGCTGAGTATTGGGTTTATGACATTTTAGGAAATAATCCTTAATGACATATTTGTTTAGTTTGGGCTATGTTCGTTACTTATCACACATAACCTTTAATTGATACGATGGAGAACAACTTACAATGAATTGAAAGTCATTAAATGTTTAAAATAATTTAATTTGGATATGTATCACCTTACTCATGCCCAACGATAAGAACCAGAAATGTGTAAGAAACCATAATGTGCATATAATAACGACGGGTTTTAAACCCTTCGTCGAGTGATTACAAATAATAGAGAAATATTGTGATATGGGATAACGGTTTTCTAATCCCTTCGTTGATTTGATCCTACTACCGTCGTTATTGGGTCTCCTTAAAAATGAAGGGGTCCATTACCTTCATTGATGAGACTCCTAATCATAATTGGACTGAAATTAACCTATTTCTATTAACAAATCCCATAACCAAACCCGAAGCCCCAACTAAAACCCAAAACCGAATTTTACAAACCCACAAATCCTAATCATCCTCTAACCGCAAAAATAATGATTTAAACCCTAGTTAAAAAAATCCACCTCCTTATCATCGCCCCACTACCACGAATTTACTCTATGACAACGGTTCAGTGGTAACGATTTCTAATCGTTGCGCTTGACCCCAAGCGTGACGGTTCTGCAATGTTTTTCACCATTATTTTTGGGTTTAAAGAGCACTTGAGTTGGAAGCGTCGCGCTTGCCTCTACTTTTGGGCGCCTTAACTTTTTAATGCCCGCTCAAGCACTGAAATATAGATCGCGTGTTTTTGTTTTTTAATCAAAAAATCCTCAAATTTAAACCCTCACTTTCTATGTTTCTTCTCGCCGCCACCACATCCTCCCTTCAACGATCCATCTCCGATCCCCCCCCCACCACCTACGCCTCCGCCTACAAGACCATACCCTCTGGCCTCGTCTATGCCATTTCCCTCCATCCATCCAAGTGCAAAGGTTTAGTCTCATATCTCCCCCTTTCCTCTTCGACCGGTCACCCTCACTTGAAGCTGAGCTCAGTGCACTGTGGATCTCTGAATCTCTCATCTCCAATCTCTCAATCGTGTCTAATTTGCTAACTTTTTTGTTTATGGCATCTTTGTTTAGGCATCAGAGAAGAAACTCTCGAACCCAATGGGGGAGATTAAGATCCATTAATTGGTCTTCAGTATTTCAGTTGGAGAGAACGGAGATACAAAATCCTCTGAGGTATCGATCGTCAATCTCTTGTTTAGATTTAGGGCTTATGAATTACTGCAAAAGTTGATTTTGTGTGTGTGCTTATTTAGGGTTAGGGTTTCAATCCTAAATGGCCCTCTGATGACAGGAAGCAACACATCAAGATCCCTAAACCCTCTCAGATAAAAATTTACTTGACTACACTTTGGTTGCTTTTCTCTATGACCTAAAAAAATTCAATTTGATTGTCTCACTCTCTTTCTTTGCTTATTTGCTTTCTAGGGGTTGCTGGTGGAGCACTGTGATTGGTGTCGAAGAGTCAGAGAGCTTTTGCAGCAAGTTATGCCACCATTCATGCTATCATCGTCGGCTGCTACTATGGTCTATTACTTCTTACTAGTTTTCTTATTCAAATGTAAGATAGTTGAGATTTTTTGTTGTGATAGATCTTGGCATGCAGCGTTCACCAATTTTTTGTGACTTTTGATCAGTAATTTTGAGTGAAGGTCATTTTCGCTTCAAAAGCAAGGTTGGGATAAGCTGAAGCTGAGTATTGGGTTTATGACATTTTAGGAAATAATCCTTAATGACATATTTGTTTAGTTTGGGCTATGTTCGTTACTTATCACACATAACCTTTAATTGATACGATGGAGAACAACTTACAATGAATTGAAAGTCATTAAATGTTTAAAATAATTTAATTTGGATATGTATCACCTTACTCATGCCCAACGATAAGAACCAGAAATGTGTAAGAAACCACTTCTGACGTTCCAAACTCATGCCTTAGTGCTTAGTAGATAATGTAATATAGCTAATATTATGTTTTTATTCCTGAATCTTGTAGAAATTGGAAGATCCTCTCATTAACGAGGCTTGAAAATAGCTTGAAACGAATCTGAATCTGGAGAAGGTGGAGTTTGACATACTTGGTATGAAGGTGAGATATTCTTGTGCAATGTTCTAAAGTTTTTTCCCATCTCAGTGCAAGACATTAATATAAGTATATAGTCTACATACTAACTCTTATGTGTCTCTACGTACAACAAGTTCATATTACCAAGTTTAAGGATTTAACATACTTTTTCTGCTATTTCTAATCATGAAGTTAAGTTTTCATACTTTTGGGGATAATGCACAGTTTCGATTCCATGTTGGAGTTGGATTATAAAAGCTGCCACCAATTTAAATATTATAACATTTGCATTTTCATACTTACCTGTAATTGTGTGAGAGGTTATTCAAATGTCTGATCACTAACAATATTATAGACATGTTTTCTCCAAATGTCTATTGACCATACAAATCCAACGTCTTATGTACTCTTTAGGCAAAATAAATTGAATATACTCATGACTCGAGGCTTTTGGAACAAAACCTCATGCTACTAAAGTCACTTGTGATTCTTCTGATGATTCTATTTAATAAAAACACTCCAAAAAAAAAAAACTATGAAAAATTACCATGAATGATACACTTTGTTTTGAGTTTTGAATTTTAGAACTTAAGATTCTCTCCAAATCCCAAGTATTGTAAGCAAAAGCCAATGAAAAAAAGTTGCCTTTGATCAATGAGGACATGGGACAAATCATCTCTATTTCTTGTTGATTGTGTAAAAAGGATGTTTTTATTACTTAGAAAAATATATATATTTCTATAGTTTTTAGGTGTTGGTTGTTTGTATTTTTTCCAAGAATTATGAAATACCACATCTTTAGAGCATTTGGTTCTGTAAGCTATTTTCATTTGTTGATGTATTGATTTGTATAAGCGATGCCTGAAAGTTTTGCAGTAGCAGAGAACTAACACTAGTGCAATGCACATTTTTTGTTGAAAATCGGAAACTCAATCAACGTGCTTGTGTGAGCAAGTAGGTTCACATAAGACTGTTATGTTGCTATATAGAAAATATTAGGGATAAGTCTCTCCTGTTAATAGATACTCTTATCCTTTACAGCGTAATTGGGTACTAATGATAGCTCTTGGAAGCTGGTTAAGATCAGTAACGTCTTTCACCTTTAAACACAGAATCAGAGTTGATCACTAACTACTCTGACTCAGTTTCAGGTTCGGGCACAAAACTGAAATTGAGACTCATTTCAGGTTTTGCGCAGTTATACATCAGTGATTTATTTAAGTATGGCATCAGGTCAGAATTATGACTTGCAGCCATCAATTGCCCCTCAAGTTTGCTACATGTTTATAATTAGCTGGAATTGTATAATTGTTACGTTAGAATAATTGTTACGTTAAAATGCTTTAACATTGTTGTGAGGATAACTGTCAATTATCTTGGTTTCTCATGGTTGCTCCTGTAATAGATGTTGGACTATAATGTACCTAGAGGTGAGCACCTGTTATTCTAATAAGAAAATTATATGCTATCAAGTTAAGCAATGTATTAGTCTGTATGTCTTAATAATTATGATGGATCATGTTTGAGGATTGTCATAGATTTCCTGTCATTGTTAAACTAATACTAGTGTTTGTCCATCGAGCATTCTAACATAGAGATAATATATTTGCAGGAAAGCCATATTGTATATCAAACGCTATAGCTACAAATTATTGAAAGACAGAAACAACTCAGTAAATATGAGTTTTTGTTTCATGTAAAGTTGGGGCATTGAATTAGTAAACAATTATCTTTCGTTTGTTAACTAGACCTTACTACCTGTTAAATTATAAATAGTTACATTTAATGGTATTTGTACCCACTCACTTTGAGGCTTTTCCATCCATGATATATGCAGTTCCAATCATACTTTATAAACTTTACGTTGATTAATTTTACGTTTTAAAAAGTTACAGTTAAATCTCAAAGTTTTAATTGCACCCGCTGGTAAATCCCAAAGTTTATATTTTAAATACTTAATGGTATTTACAATCAAATTTTAATTGCACCCTCTAGTAAATCCCAAAGTTACAGTCAAAATTTAAAAAGTTAATTACAATCATATATAGGTTAACATCTTTGCTTTTATATGTTGAATGGCCCTATATATGAATCATTTGATGCTCAGGCTATTGCATCAACATCATTGGTAAATGATGATATCAATTTGATAAGGAACGATATTGATCCAATTATTGTAAATTCAGTCTTAACTTCAAAAAAGATCGGAAAAAGACTCAAGTAGAGGATTAAAACACTTTCATTAAAGAATAAAACTCAAATGATATTGTGTTATTGATATAAATTTTAAGTTGTATCTCACTATAACTATTCCTTTTTTTTTAGACATATGATGTTTCTTTTCTTCCTATTTTGAATGTGGCTTTAACATTGCAGCAAGTGCTTCTACATTAGGATAAATTTTGAATGTGAGCATCCATTAAGGTACGTTGAAAATTAATTTTTTGCAATTGGTCTTTAATTCTTATAAATTAAATTTTGATTCAAATTTGATGTAGGATAAATTTGATGCTGAGGACATGGAGCAAAAGAGAGTCAGTAATGAGACACTTATGCGATTTGTGGAATAAGTGACGTGGTGACATGCACAGGAAATATGTGAAAGAAAATTCATTGCAAGTTGCACTTAGAAATAAACCTACAGAAGTGAGTGTTGATGACTGAGAATGGCTAGTTAAGGAACATTATTTTTCTTCAAAATTTCAGGTATTAATCTCCTAATTTTGTTAATTTTGTCCATGTATATTGCTGGATTGTTAAAATTATCTTTTAATCTTGATGTATAGAAAGCAAGCTAACTAAATACACTTAACAGAGGCAAAAGAAAGATGCTCCACCACACAGGCAGTAAACCCTTTAGACAAATTGCGTGGGAATTGGTATACGTTCAAAACTAATTTCCTATTTATTTAAAACTACTTTGTTTTTTAGTTTGATGTTGTACTCATTTTTATTTAACATTTGAATAAGGGTGGCAAGTCAGGAAATCCACCTGATGTGGCAAAAATGTTTCATGAAACTCGAAAGAAAGCTAATGAAACACTAGAAAATGGGGATCAAGATAAATATGTAAGTAGAATATGTGTTTAAGTTTGATAATGATGCATTATATAGTACTAACATACGAATTTAATTTTTATAGGATAAAATTGTTCAAGTCAAACAAGCAAACCCTTCACTTTAAGACATTGAGATAGTTGAGAAAATCTGGGGGAAGCAATCTCATGGTCACATCATTGTATTTGGTGGCGGGACTACTTTGAAAGATTTGAGAGGACCGTTCCCTAGTCGATCTGATCTGGAAGCATGGATTATAGAAAAAAAGAAAAAAAACCAGATGCTTCAACAACGCTTAGATGAGCAGGAGCAACAACAACAAAGGATGTCTGAGTTGGAGTCACAAGTGAAAGCTATGCAAGAACTTTTTTTTAGGCAATCACCTTCATTGACTCCTCAAACTCGAGAACATGTGTAGGATTAGGTAATTATTTTTTGTAAAATCTCTTATATACTTTTATGATTGACTACTTGCACTAAAAAAATATGATTTTTACTTAATAAGATAATATTTGCTTAATTGATATTTCTTAATTATGTGATTTTTTTAATTTTCAGGCTATCCATGCAAGATTAGGAGGGGGTAGCTCGAGTCTTCTTTTGACGATGATTAGAGGTGTCAGAGATGTGTCTTCCCCAAACTTTTATTTTAATTTGTTATTGATAGTTTTATGTATTTTTCTTTGGAACAATTAGGATATTAACTCTTGTTATTAGTATTGAATATTTGAGGATGGTGGAATTTTATTTATTGATGTTATTAATGAATGAAATTTTTATTTTTCCTTTTATTCATTATTGGGTATTTTTAATATATTTGTGTTGTGAATCTTAGTGTCAGGTTGAGAATAATATGATAGTTATCTATGAATGGAAAATTTATTATTAATGTATATTAGAAATTTGTAGTCTATAATGAAGGTTTTATAAACCGTATTTTGTTCATCAATGAAGGGAAAACACCGTCGTTAATGGGTTATTAATTACCCATTATGAGAACTTTTACGACGGTATCCAACCGTCATTAATTAGTCTTCAACGACGGGAAAATATCACCGTAACTAATGGTAACGACGGGAAAATATCCCCGTAACTAATGGTAATGACGGGAAAATATCCCGTCACTGATGGTAACGACGGGAAAATATCCCCGTCACTGATAGTAACGACGGTGATAATTACCGTCGTAAATATTAACGACGGTAATATGTTCCGTCATTATAGACTCTATAACGACGGGTAGTATATCCCTTCGTGACCCTTTAGCGAAGAGGGCTTCAACGACGGGTGACGAAGGGATTTTTCCCTGTCGTTAGCATACAATAACGAAGGTTTTCAGCTCTTTAACGAAGGGAAATCCCTTCGTTAAAGATGTAATTTCTTGTAGTGGATCTAAGTACAGTTGATTTCCTCTTCAGAATAAGGAACGTAATATACAATAAAAAAGAACATAAAGCATATGGCGAGTACCTGAAGAACTACTAGCTATACGGAGGAAAGTTTTCGGAGTTTCTCATTTCTCGTGCACTCTTCCTGTGATGATAAAGCAGAGTTTTAGATAATGGAAGACTTAGCAATATTCTTGACCAGTTGACAATCTACCTTCAATTTTCCATGCAAAGTGCCTTAATGAGAAAGTTATGTATGCAAAGGGGGCTTGCTGTAAATCCTAGAAAGATCAAGCAGTAGACAGGAAAACCTATCTTATTAATGCTAAAGTTTACATTCACAAGGAGTAGATCCCCATGATATTAGTTGATAAACAGACTCTAAAATTTGTGAGATGATAAAAATTTTGCTATAGGAATCACATTTTACTGGCCCAAGTCAAGTGCTACAAAGGTATTTATGCAATAATAAGGAAAACCAAAAATGTACATGGACACTGAAGTTGATGTCCAACAGTAACATAGAGAAATCATAGAGCAGATCATATCAGATTGCAGTTCTTGTCATGCGTGTTTTCCAAAGCCAAATTGCGACTATGTGAAAATCTGATGAGTTTTACATTCGGCATAAGCATGCAAAATGAAGTATTCATATAGTTATACGTGAAAAATAGGAATCCCAAGCATTGTGAGAGCTCAATGGTGAGCTATCTTTTAGAGAATTTACATCTTTCATCTCGATCTACACATGCAAAATAGACTAGAAATAAAACATCAAAAGAGTTAGAAAGCTTTCTATACATGCATTGAACACTTTCATCGTTTCTATAGCCAAAATAACATACTTTTTGCCACCAACTTCGAACCAAGAAAAAAAAAGACAGAAGTTTTTGCAGCCACCTGATCTCTCATTTATAAGACTAATTTAGATGTGTTGAGCAAGACCCTCAATGGAGTTTCACAAAGTCCTTACTGTGACGTGTTAAACTTTATCCACGCTGAAGATTTTCAAGTGAGAGTTCTCAAAGTAACATTGTGAGAACTATCATTTGGATGAATTGAACCATTCATATTGATCTCTCACATCCAAATAATCTAGAAACAAAAGATAAATGTAAATTTCTATCCACATTCCACACATCAATCGGTATCTTTTTTTTATGACTAACAATGCCTATTTGAACTAATTGTGAACATTAGTGAAGTTCTAAACCATGACTTCTTGTCCATAGACTAATTTGGATGTGTTAAACAAGATAGAATGATGTCATGATCGCTTATTGAGTTCTCATAAAATTTCTCACCATACAAAGTCCTTGTTTGGAAAATTTCTTATGTTGGAACGTCTATGCATGAGAATTAATTTTGAAGATGAACATTATGCGAGTCCCAAGTAAGCCATTCGGATGGTTTGAAATTAGCCATTCATCCAAAATATTCTTCCAAAAAAGTTCAAGAATAAAAGACCAATAAATTTGAAAACTCTTTACCAATGCATCAAAATGATCTCTCTTTTATGGCTGCAATAACATGTTTTGTTTTGTAAATATCTTTGGAAAAGAAATATTTCTGAAACCATAGGACTCATTCGTAGACTAATTTGCATGTGTTGGAAAAGATGAGGGTGTGAATACTCCAAGACACAACCCTTAATGTGTTCCTCCAGAAGTTCTCATATAACATTTTCTCCAGTACAAGTGAGATCTTCAGATGTGAACTAGCTTTCAAAATAGTCATATCACATAGAAAGCATATTTAGATGTATACAAAATCCCTGTTTCCCTTTGTGGTAGCAGTCTACATACATTATTTTCAATCTTTTGAGTTTCAACCTCCATATACAACCACACATTCATACTTGTATTTGTTCACGATAATTACCTTGGGTTTCTTTTTTCCATAGAAACCACCTGGAAAATTAATACAGAAACCACCTTGCAATTTCAATTTATACACAAACCACCTTTAACATGGGTTTTTATTGCAATCAACCGCCTCTTTGTCAATTTTTTCACAAAAAACCCATAATAACCCTTTAAAAACTCGCATTCAACGCACGTAACTCTTTTTTTAATGTTTAAGTCTTATTAGGATACAACTTATTTACTTCAAATATGAATTTTTTTAGTTTATTTTTGGTTTTTTGTGAAAACTTGATCGGGAGGTTGTTGATTGCAACAAAAAACTACTTTTTAAAGGTGGTTTATGTATAAATTGAAGTTATAAGGTGGTTTCCATATAGTTACCCTAATTTAAAGATGGTTTATAGGACAAAAAACCCTAATACGTATCTTAATTCTATGTACTCATTCATGAATGTAATTCCTTTGAAATTATAATTGATTAAAAACACTACAAGGGAGAAAGTCCACTCATCTAACTAATTATAATCCAGTTCCTCTCACGTACTAAACTGTAGTTCACTGTGTCTCGCCTGCTAGTCATAATTCATTTTCTCTCAATCTGTAGCATTCAAAACACTCATTTGTAGCAATCTTCATGAATTAGGCAGCAGCAGATGACCTGAGAAACTCATGGTTAAGAGGTGAATGTTGCTAATGGAATGGCTAAGCTAAGTCTCCCTTATCCCTTCCACAGTCATTAAAATTACAACTGGAAAACTACCTAGAATGATGGATGGTTGCACTGTACAATTTATATGACACATTTAAAGAATGCTGAACTTTTTTAATAATAGGAACCATATAAGGCTATACCAATCAGAACCAAATAGCAATAGAAAGTGAACCTTTCTCACCTTTTCTCTTCAACCCTTCTCCTTTTTCATTTCAATCTTTCAAATTTTCTTTTCTTAATTTTCTGATTCTCAATTCTTATATTATCTTCTTCTTTTTTGTTCACTGCTTACAAATTATTAATTGATTAGTATATTGCCTCAAGGTGAGAGCAAAAAAGTGCATATTAAAATCAAAACACAGGCTATACCCTCAGTTTGCTACTTCTATATCGTCAGTACTTCTTTACCTTACTCAACATAAAGAAGCAATGATGTGGGTTACGGTTAGAAAAGACCTTGCCATTTTAAGTGAACTTTGATGGTGCCATTAGTTTTCCATAAATAGGGACCAAAACAGTACTACAAAGAGGTAAGTTGACAGGATAAACTTCAAAATTTTGGCCTCCTTGCATACAAACATAGCTTTAAAGTGAAGTAAAGGTGGTGTTTCTTTTACCTCCTACAGTTTTTTCCCCCTCTCATTTGTTTCTAAGGGGGGAAATCAGAACTTTCAATTAAATGCTTACTTGGAAAGCCTTCAGGAGAGAAGAGAAATAGCGTTGTTCTCCTACTGCTGAAGCATGCTTCTCTTTCAGAGAGTTGCAAATTCTTTGTTCAGCAAGAAGAGCAAGCTGCGCCTTTTCTAGTTTCTGTAGAATGGGAAACAGGGGCAATAAATCAAATAGGGGTCTGAAGACTGAACTGAAGCAACTACTTAACATGAAAAGTTGAATAAACTTCTGTTAATTGTAAGAAAAGGAAATATAAAAGAAATGCTAAATTTTTAATGAGCTCAGTCTTGGGAATAATAGGAAAATATTGGATCTATGTCCAACCATAAACCAGAAATGAACAATTTTGAATTTTTAATTTTCATTGATGAATTTTGCTCATCTAAATTCTTGCAACACTTAAACATATTGGATCTATGTCCAACCATAAACCAGAAATGCACAATTTAGAATTTAGAATTTTCATTGATGAATTTTGTTCATCAAAATTCTTGCAACACTTAACAAACCAACAAGAAAATACTTTTGGGTTGCATAAAGTGGTAAAATAGTCTTCTTATTGAATCTTCTTTGAACACCTAACAAAGGAAGACTACCAAAAACAAGTCATAAGACTATGTAAAGGATGTCAATCGCCCCAAATCATACCCGACTAGTATCATATATATTATATATGGGTATATGGTTCCGTGCCTTCTAATACAGGACTCACTTGATTTTTTATGTGTGCGGTGTGTGGATTTTTTTTGTTTTGGGATGGGTTTTTTTTTGTATATCAAGATATTAGGGAATAGACGATTTCTATCATAATCCCATAGGTAACCAAAGAGACTCATCTGGCTTGCCCTAGGTGAGATATGAAACCATAAAGGTGGAGGTGCATTCATAGAGACAGATGTGTTGTTGAAGCAATGCAGGCACAAAAAAAAATATGAACTTCTTGAGAAACATGCATATATTGCCAGTATCTTGCTTCTTAGAAGAACAAAAAATAAAAATTGTGAACATTTCTTGCTTCCTATAAGAATGCAAACATTTGATCATATGAAGCAATAAATTACCTGTTTAGAGCCTTTAACAATGACCTCCATTGAATCCACAAGTTTAGAGCGACCAATGGTGCTGCTCATGGCATCTTGAAACTATCAAGCAAAAAGAAAAATTATATATTAAAAGGAATGTTTTATTTTATTGAGTACTTACCAAAACAAAGATTTCTTACATAATTAAGATATCTTGTATTTTTAAAATATCAAGAAAGATTAATGTCTCAAGTAGATTAGTATGAGTTTTGATAAGAATGAATGTGTAAGTGGAATAAGGTCAAAGTAACTATGAGAAAAATAAGAAGGAAATCAGATCTAATAAGATATTGTACAAGAGGAAAATTGAAAGATCACATGGATAAGATTTTAACTACTATGATCAAGAGAAGCTAGAAAATTCCTCTTCTCCATTGCAGCTTTCTGACTTGTGTTTCTAAAAAAATCCTTTTCCAAATTGATTAAAGAAGATCTAGCTTTGCCAAAAAAAAAAAACACTTACATTTTCTTTAAAAATATGAAAGTTTTTTCGTAAGGTAGATTTCTTTAAAAATGATGAGAGTCATGTACATATTGGATGTGATTTCTCTTCAATTATATTTTAGTAAGGTAGATTTCAGTTTATAACGTTAATAAGTCAATTATGTAGCTTCCTACTAGCATTGATTGCAAATAAAAACTATAGGCAACACGAACATCACGACCGAATAAAATTCAGGACAAAGCTGTCATTTGATAAAATTTTACCTTATTTACATTGGAAAGATGTAAACTCCTGCCAAAAGGTATTGACTTATTGCTTAGTAACAACTAACAAGTGTCTAAGGCCCTAAGGGTACTCATTAGCAAGACCTATATATGAAATAAGCAATTAAATTAAGTTACGGCAATTTTGGTTCCAGTATCACAGACTATTGATATAAGATCATTTTAAATATTTATTTTATTTGGAAAAACTAGAAATTGAGATGCTAAAAACTTGTAGACGAGAAATTGTACTACTACCTTGAAAAGCATCCTGAGTACTTAATTATTAAGAAGGAAAAAAACGGCTAGTGAACAATTATTATTAGCCAATCAAATCACAGTTACAGTGAATAAGTATCTTGCTCATTTATCAAAGGAAATGAACTGAGCAAAAATTATCTAAATTCTTATTCTTAAATTGACTCTCTCTAATCATTACACAAAAACTACGAAGTTATGATGTGAATTTAGAGTTATATTTTTATATTCTAGCATACCCCCGCAAGTTGAGGAGCATATATTTATGGGTTAAAACCTAGACTCACACAACGGTATCAACTTTTCTAAAATCTATGTTAGATTCGTGGCCAATGGGGATTCGAACCTGAGTTGCTTTAATAATCTTAAATTAACTATCTCTAACCACTACACCAAAACTCCGACCTTGAAGACCAACACAATAGGATCGAAATCCTGTGATGTTATAAAAATATAACACTTAACTCCCACCGCAACTTAGGAGCTTTGGTATATTGCTTAGAAGAACTTCAAGATGGTATCAGAGCAACTCAGATTTAAATCCCACTAGCCATGAATTTAAACCAAATTTTCTAAAAATTGATATCACTGCGTGAGCCTAGGTTTCGGCCCACAAGAAGAGCGCTCAACCTGGGAGAGCATGTTAGAATATAAAAATATAACCCTCAACTCTCACCACAACTTCAACTGATTCTACACACACCTGTGAATCTATTGAGTTCAATAGCGAAGTTTCTTTTAGCATTAGATCTTTTATATCCAACAGAGCATTGTAGGTATCATAATGTTTACGAGTCTGGCGATGCTTTTCCTGCAGAGAGATATGAGTTAAGTTGCAAGTTTGCATTATCTTCATATTTGCAAACTAAGAAGTTATAAAGCTCTTTTGAAACAAATCCCATACCTGGATTTGGCTATAAAGTTCTGAGACCCGCCGTTCATACCTAAGCAAAAGCACCGTTCCTGGGTAAATCAGTTGGTACAAGCTAAATAAAGCTAATGTAATCTGTAGATTGTTGAGGCGTACAATATAAAGAAACTTCATTTTACAGCATGTAGGATTAGAAAAGGATGAAATTTAAGGTCCTCTGTCCCTTCAATCAAAGCCAAGATCAGTTTTGACAACCAATATAGTTGGCACAAGGGGACTTTTATGATCTGGGCTTTTGGGCTGAGCCAAGGGATGCTAATGTCTGGTCTGATATAAGAACCACGAGGCAAGACAGACTCAATCTGTCAATGCAAACTGGACTAATTAATAGGTGTATAATCACCTTGTTGGGAGTGGAATCTAGTCTTGTTCTGCAACAAATTTTAGAAAAAGACCTTCGCCTTCTAGATTCACAGATTCACCTATATCGAATCTAGGATTTACCAACTTTACAAGTGCTTTCAAAATAATTCTACAAATATCGATTCTATTGACATTATGTCCATTTTAGCGGTGGATTTTTTCCAAATAATTATCAAATAATACAGTAATTATTCATCTGACTAATTTGTTTAAAGTCGATTCCCAGATGGGTGTTTAAGCAAAACCAAACATGTTTTAGTATTATTTTAATATATAAAACCCGCATACAATAATTCACTTGTTTTGTTTTATTATTGAATACTTTTAGTACATCTTGTAACCTCAGCCATTTACATTATCACATATCGAAACCCTATTATATTTGCTCTATATGCACAGAAACACCAGGGGGAAAAAAAGTGAAACGAACAATCCCTCAGTCAAGTTATTTAATCAAATATTCAAATTCAAGATTATAGATAATCTCCAATGAATAATTCCCAGATAGAAATTCATGAAAAATCCAAACAGCAAGTCCAATCAATCACAACAGATTCAGCAATTTGAGAATTAATTTAATTCAGATCAGATTTGATAACTTGAATTTAGATTCTGAGATTATAAATGAAGTCAAATATAATACCTCAATGTGTGGTTCAATTCAATTTCAGTCCTGGTCAGTTTATTCTATTTCGGTCAATAATTAAAGAAAAGGCATTACTGAAACAGACTTACAAGAAAAGCTTTAACAGCCAGACTTATAGAAAACATTCGGCATATTCAAATGAAATAACAAGGAAAATACCTGCTCTACACCATTCAGGGGGAAAAACATATTGCTAAAGGGAAAATGATGTGAGGAAACAGCTAGATGAAAATAACTTTAAAAATGGACATCACTAAAAGCAATTGGAATATTTAAATCAAAGAGATAATGAACATAAACTCTTAACTGAAACAACAAAAGATAATGACTGAAAAAATAAACATACTGGATAAGTTCTGTTTGAGCTGGCACAGCATCATATTGCCGCTTCAGTGACAATACTGCCTGTAGTTTAGCTCCAAGTTCCTGTGCAACCACACATAAATAGTAATTTGCATCTCAAGATAAAGCAGGTATGTCTGTGAGCATACCGGAGAGAAAAATTTAGCAGCCACCACACGAGTGAAAAATAGCGAATGAAAACATTTGTCATTAATATAAATGTTATATAAATTTCATGAAAGGTTTATAGTTCTGTGTGATCAAAATCAAAATTATACAATGTTCCAGTAACGATTATGCATGAGTGTTAACTGAGCCACTAAGGAGATGAGCCTTTACAGAATGGAATGAAGAAAATGACTACTGTAGCTGATCCAAAAATGGAGGTAAAAGCTTTGGTGTTGTCATCTATGTCTTTGGTGGTGGTGTTGCTGCTGCTGCTGTTGTTGTTGTCAGAACGAATATTTTACATGAAACTTTGAGAGGATATAATATACATTTGTTCAGCAAAAGTTATGAGCCACAGTGACCCATAAGAGAATTGAATGAAGAAAAGAACGCATGTAGCTTATCCAAAAGTTCAAAAGTTTAGATAGAAATAAAAGCTTGGATGTTGTCATATTTATCTTTGTTGCAAGGTTTTAAATATCGGTTATCGGGGATTTATCGGATGGCCAAAATCCTTATCGGATAGTGGAAATCGGGGATATATCGGGATAAGTAGTATTTATCGGAGCAATATACTGGATGGTGTATATATATAATATAACAACTAAAAAATGTAATCTAACCGTGCTTAATGAAATATAAACATTCCAAAACAGAAAAGCAAAGTATGTACAGTTTATTCACTAATTTCTTATATAAGTCTCTGTTACAGGAAAAACAAAAAAAGCAAAGTATGATAAAAGAATAGTTATAGAACTGATATTACTCAAAAGAGAAAGTGTGTGCGTGAAGGAATTACAAGAGAAGGAAAGCTCACAACATGCGTATATAGCCATGTTTCCGGACAAAAAAACATGGTTGACAGAGGGTAGGCGAGCGATGAAGTTCAAGGTTGAAGTTCACGAAGGAGAGTGACGAAGAGGCGCAGAGAATATGAGATGGAGATAACGGAGGAAGCGCCCAACAAGAAAAGGAGCAGTCGCCAGAGACGAAGTTAGGGTTTAAAGGTTGGATTCACAAAGTTTCGGGTTTTAAGTTTCATATTATTAACAAAACGGGTCGGGTCGGATTTTAAAAACTCAACAACTCAACTCGAAATGCCTGGCCGATAATCCCGATAATTTAGCCTTACTTATCGGCCGATAAGTACCGATAACTCGCCGATAATCTCTCCAAAACGATAACCGATTACAAAACCAACTTATCCTAGCGGAGAGCTCAAAAATCCGATAACTCGGCCGATAATATCGATTATCGGCCGATATATAAAACAATGCTTTGTTGTTGTCATCAAAATGAAGATTTCACATGAAACTTTGATAGCACATACATTTGTTCCACAAAAATTTTCAGCCTTAGTGTCAGTTTAAATTAGTGTTTTCACAGCATCAGTGCATTCCGATTGACTCTGTTTGTAATTGGTTTAGAACAAAATTTACTCATATGCTTACAAACAGTGACAGTTTCACATTTCTTTACTCAAGTAGGCTTAATTACAAAAAATAACCCTCTCCATATACAACATATCGAGAGTTCAAGAAAGAACTTAGGATAGTAGATGGGCTTTAACTACACCTTCAAATAATTTGTTTAGTAGTCACAGATGAGAAAGAAAGGAGAGATAAAATTGATAGGACTTCTTTAGAACACTGCAATACTCAAGAGAATGAAGCTTGGTTTTAATATATTTTGAGGAAAAGTTCGTTAAACCCTCCCTTTGCCATCCCAATAGATCCTATGTTTTCTCAACCATATAGTGACTTCTGAGTGAGTATGTGCGTGCATACACACACGCACGCACACACACACAAAAGAATGAAGTTTGGTTTAAATATATTTTGAGAGAACATTGCTAAACTCTCCATCTCAATAGAATAATTAAACCTCCCTGAACTTCAAAAATGAATAACCTGAGTTACCTCACTAAGTTTTTTCAAGCATATAGAGACTTTTACGCTCTCAAAATTCACGAGTTTAGTTTAAATTTAACCAACCTAAATGGCAGTATAATCTAAAATGGGTCATATCAATTACTTCATTTTCTTCACCCCAATCTCCCAGGTGGGTTAGCATCAGTTTAGGTTTGAATAAGATAAATACTTCAGGAAGAAACTACTGGTAAAAGATATAAACATAAAGTGGCCATGAACCCATTGTTTATTCATACTGTGTTCGAGCTTGGATTACAATGAGTATTTGATTATAGGTTTCCTTAAAATTTAGTTCGCATCAACAATGAGTTTATTTAATCATTAATAGTAAACTAAAATAATGGATGGCGCTTTAACCTGCTAATATACTTATTGTTGTCTCCTAATAACAAAGGGGTTTATGTGAGAAGATACAGTATAGGATCGTCTACTGATGAATATTGGTACTGGGAAGAGTTATCTGAATATAGTGAGAAGTTGGTGGCTGTTCAGTGAAATTTTTCCTAGAATTAGAAGGCACTTATGAATGTATTTAACAAAGAGGATGGAAATATTACTTCAAGGTCAAAGTCAGTCAAGCAAATGCCTCCAAAAAGAGTTAAAAATTATCTCGTCTCATGTGATATGCCTAAGTAATTAACATTTCCATCTAATCAAAATTCCAGTGCTGAATACAACATGAGAATTAGTAGCACTATCCAGGAAAATGTATCCTCTTTTAACAAAGAGGACAAAAAATAAATACAACCTTCATCATAAATGAGGCAATTGAACTAGGACAGCAAGAGAGATAAACATAAGAGGAAAATAAATTGGAGATCAAGCATATAGAAAATCAAACAGAAAAGGATATTGCACTATATCTCCAACCAACCATTAATGCAAGGCTACAAATAACTACCTTCTTTGCTAAATGCAGTCTATCCAATAAGTCACTTAGAGAGGGGGAAGAATTGACTGAATCATGGCATCCTTCACTAAGAGGTAATAACTTCTCATGCTCCATCTCTGACTGCAAGTCAGCACACTTTTTCCCATAAACAGATTGCAAATCAGATTCTTCATTTTCAAGAACCTGTAGAAACCTTTTGAAATTAATCAAGTTCCCAAATCAATATAAATTATGAGCACAATAATGTCATGCAAGTGAGTCTGAATTTTCATGTAGTTATCTGAAATAATATCTAGAAAAAATATATATGAGAACCAATCCATCAAACTGAGAAATATTCGTAATCTGATTATGTATGCAGTGAAACATGTTTTATTCACAGTACAAATGAAAAACATGCAAACAAAAAACACAAAAAAAAAAATTCAAAAGTCAATTCATACACAATGTTAGATTCATCCACCTTCAATAATTTGAGCTTTATTGTCAGCTCCTCAATGGCATCACTACAATTTGATGTACCAATTCTTTGATGAAGCTTCTCTAATTGCTTGATAAGATTGTCATTTTTCTGCTCCTGGTGCAACAGATAATTCACAAGCAACTAAAGTTCACATGAAGCAGTCAGAGGATAAAATATAATACTATTACTCTGGCAATAAATATATATTTCACATTTTTGTCAATTAAAGGCACTTATACCAGGATTTGATTTCTTCACTAACCATTTCACTCAAATGGGAGCAAAGCAACTGCATTGAATGCTCTTTTTCACTGAGTTCGGTTCTAAGCTGTTGCACTTCATACTCTCCCTCTTCAATCTCAGACAGAAGGAAAACAACCTGTGCGACATGATTCATTAACAACTACATCAAGGTACATTGATCTCAGGTATGATTACTGTGTCAAAATTGCAAAAGGATATGTGAAAACTAAAATGATGTTAGGAACAGAATGGATCGGCGTTTTGGACTGTTTTCATGCAACAAACACTTCCCTGCAGTGCAAGGCCCTAGTGATTGTTCCTAGTGCATAGCAAAATGAAACATTATATAGATGTTAGACATGCCTTGCTCTAAGAATATGGCTAACATGAGAAGTGACTTGACCCCAAGATACCAATTGAAGCATAAAGATCTAAAGCTAGTAGAAACATGCAAGATATAACTTCCCCCTAGACAATGACATTTTTTCCGCAAACATGACGATGACAACGAAAGAGTTTATGTGAAGCATTGCTGTCAGTTATACAAATTATTTTCTTAGGTTCAACTCAATCAAGAGCCATTTGGCAAAATTGTATATAGTTTTGTGTGCTTCAATCAAAATGCCATTTGGAATCATAATTTCTTCTATTAAGGAAGGATATACTACAACTATGACTTACATCATAGTTTATATTTTCCCATGTAGGCTTCTTCACGAGTTAGTTAGAGCGTTAACAAAAGATACTTTTGTCCAATTACGAGCTTGTTTGGATTGGGGGTAAAGAAAGGTAGGGGAAGTTATGAGACTCTTTCTCCTTGTTTGGGAATTAACTTGTGCTAGGTAATGAGGGAGAACGTAAGGTAAAAGGAGGAGAGAAAAACTGCCCCCCAACCCCAATTTCGGGTGTAACGAAGGTGAAGGGAACTTTTAAAAATAACAACTATGGAGAGACCATTTTACCCTCCATCAATAAAATGACTTAATAAGATATAAGGGTATTTATGTAATTTTATATATATTTTTCATTCGCTTTATTATACTTTCCAAACGGGGTGAAATAAGTTCCTCAGGGTACCCTTTACCAAGAGGGTGTTTGAGAAGACTTATTTTTCAGTCAAACTAGCTTTTAAGCTAGCTTTTTTATTTCTATCTGTTTGGTAAAATGCGTAATAAGTTAGCTTACAAGTCTCATTTTAAAAAGCTGGTATACCCAGCTTTTGAAAAACTAGCTTATAAACTCATTAAAAAAACTAGGTTTGACCAAACAAATTACTATTCTACTCAAACAATTTTATAGCATTTTTATTCAAAAAGCTAAAAGCCACTACAAGCTAGCATAACTTAAAAGCTTAAAAAAATAAACCTTCCCAAACACCCTATAAGTTTCCAAACAGGTTTTACATATTCCCTTACTTTCCCTTAACTTATCCCATGTTCCCTTAACTTACCTTCACTGGATGCAAATCCAAACAAGTCCTAAAGAAAAGGGTCTCTTCATTGGTCAGGGTTGCTCAACACTGATCAAATAACATCTCGAGTTCTCTTTTAACTTTACTTGGATGCATGAGGGCATCGGAGAAGTAAAGCTGGAACACTCACTTGGGCGTGAGAACACTGCTCAATGAATGACACCAATTTGTAGAGAGGTAAGTGTTGAAAACTATGTTGCAGGAGTACGGGTACAAATGAGGGTACGGACACCGTAAATTTATATAAAAAGAGGGTACAGGGACAAAGCTATATATACATTGAAACTTAACAATTTACATGAGATCAATATTCTTTTTCATTCACATGTTACATGAAACAAAATTTCTATAACATTTTAATTTTTTTATGTCATGTACTGATTGTTTTAAATTAAAAGATGTATTATATAATTGACATCCAAGTGTATGTATATATTCAAGGAGTGTCCAAGGCAATGTTTTAAAAAACTCCCGCCTAGACGGCTGCTCGCCTAGGTCTTGGGAGCGCATAGGGGAGCACAAACTGCTTACACAGACTGCACTGTTTAGATCTTGGTCGTAATTTCTTCCATTACTACATCCACTTCCTCTAACCTCCTTTGAACTCCTCTGGCCGCCTCCACCGACTAGGACCATCTCCTCCAACTCCTTTGACCTTCAGCAACACCTTCTCTGTCACCACTTAAATAAAAAAAATCCTCCTAAGCCTAGCACCTAGGCGCAAGGCGCCAGTTTCCACCTAGTGGTGCCTCACACTTTTGATAACATTGACTATAATAAAAAATTAGGAAAATGCCTAGGTCCCGCCTAGGCTCTAGGCACTGGGTCCGATGCCTAGGCCGTCTCGGGCTTTCTATAACCTTGGTCCAAGGAGTGTTGGGTACAGGTATGAGAAGTGTCCGATACAAATACAACTTCATGATATAAGTGTTTATGCAACATAGATTGAAAAACTTAGTGTAATATTTCATCATAAATAAATAAAAATATTGCTCACACTACGACAACTTGTACTTATGCAACATAGATTGAAAAACTTGTGTAATATTTCATCATAAATAAATAAAAATATTGCTCACACGACGACAACTTGTACCTTTTTTCTTACTTATGTTTACAACCTCCATGTCACAAATATACAGAAGCAAGTTTTGTCGTCAGGTTCCGTGGATCACCGGCTTGTGTTGGTCTACATCTTATCCTATCAAGTATTATCGCCGTTCAGCCATTTCAACACCCTCATCTAAAGGTTAGTACTAATTTGATGAAGTGATTTTAACCTATAAGAATGATTTCAAACGATTTTCAATCATCAAGTAAAATTCAATCACCAATCCTCTTCAAAAATCTCTAAATTTGACTTATCCCCCACTCACTTCATTTTACAGCATCAAAAAGAGACCTTACTTAAGAACAAAGTCAGCCTAACATCAAAATATTAGTACTTTCTTGAATCCAACACAAGAAAACAAAACCCTGATTTTGCTACAGTTATTGACGTTCAGATTTCTTTCATACAAAAAGCACACAAATTGGAGGAAATCAGAGGAGAAAGGGAAAAGATTTACTTTCTCCTCATCGGAGAGAGTTGAGGCCTGGCCGTCGCTGTCGAAGTTCGCCGGTGCGGATTCGGGTTCCGGCAGATTCGACATCACGACGCGAATCCAATTGGACGGCCAAAAATGAAAAAGAGAATTTGATTGTTTCCTAGTTTATCTCGGGCCCAATCTTGGGCCCTGCTAAAATGTAACCGGTAAGGTGCCATCTCATACTCAAAGCCTACTAAGCAATAGGATCAAGCATCGCCCCCTCCTTCACAAAACTCGTAAAGAGATGAAAAAATTAGGTTTTTTTTTTCCTTGAAGCAAATTATATTTATGATCAATTTACATAAACTAAATTATATTTCTAATTTATATCCAAACCACCTATAAAGTTAATTTTTCTTTCAATCAATTATACGTGAATTCACTTTGCTGCTAAAAATTTCTTATTTACTATTTGGGAGTTCACTAGCGGTAGGGAAGGAAAGATAAAATAAGATAAGAGAAAATAGAGAAGGGAATGGGAATTGTAATTTGTTGATTGAGAGTTTAGTACGGGAAAGAAAAGTGAACTTTATTTGCCTTGTTTGGGAGTTCCTCTTAAAAGAAGGAAAGGAAAGAGAATATTTTAAAATTACATGAATAATCTTACATGTTATTAAAATGTTTTTTTATCTAATAAATGATAAACAAGAAGCTAAAATAACCATACTTAGAAATAATAATATTATTACTACTACTACTATTATTGTTATTGTTATTATTATTACTGTTGGCCTTCGTGTTTTGATGATATTTAACAAACAATTTACTTCTAATGTTGTTTGTCTAGTGTTTGTGTTTTCGTATTTATTCTAGGCAAACAACGAGTTGGATGATGGATGGAATTGCGCATTCACGATCATATCCAATGGAGGTTGGCGGAATTGTGAAGTGAAGCCTATGCAATTCAAATTGAAAATCCAAGTTCTAGCTTCATCCGCAAGAGTACCAAGTTGGGCTACATCGAAGATCAAGATCAAGCTTGGGTAATTTAGTTTAGGTTTTATATTATGTGTGTCAAGTACTCTAAGCTCAATATAATATGCACACACTTTTTATTGGTTTCTATGTATGTATATATAGTCATATATTGTTTGTTTTTACGTGGATAAGTTAGTTTGGTTTAATTTCATAGATATGAAACAAATATATATTCATATTCATACTGATATGTTTCATATGCTATTGTATTTGTGAAAATACTATATTCATTGTTTATAGACTTCATAACAATTGTTTACATCTTTCTTCAAGTCTATAAAATCATTTTGTATTGTTTCAAAATATGGTTAAGCTAAAATATCAAAACTCATGTGTTTACATTTTCATGTTTTGGACTATTTTACAAAATGATGATATTTTTCATTTGGGAGGTCCTTTTTGAAAACCAGTCTTTGTAGCATGTTTATTATCATGTCTACAATCATTCCCTAAAGTTTTATATTTTTTAGAATTTATTTGATATTTTTAAACAGGGTTTTAAAATCAAAATATCAATTTCAAATCTAAATTTTTATATATCAGTTTGCGGTCGACCGCCACGGTCGACCGTGCTTGTGTCTTTTGCTGAGTGGGCTGCTCGCGGTCGACCATCGCGGTTGACCGTCTGTTGTTCTGAGCTGTAGTTTTGCTGTTTTGTTACTCGCGGTCGACCGCTGCGGTTGACCGCCGAACTGTCAGATCAGTCCAACTGCTAGTTTCTGAGTTGTTTTCTCTTGGACTTTTTGGTCATTTTGTTTTGGGTTTTTGCTGAAGTTTTGAGTGGGGTATAAATACCCCATTGCCTTCAGCTCTTCAATAACCAAGAGAGTGTTTTTAAAACAAGTTTAAAGAGTTTTAAACAATGGTTTAAGTTTGGTTTAAGTTTGTTTAAGAAGCTTTTAAGCATTTGGAAGTTTGAGTTTGCAAAATCAATTTCACAAGAGCTTGAGGAGATCATCTATTGGTGTTTGGGCATCCAACTATTCTCCCTCTACCTCTTGATCTATTGAGAAGTTTTCTAAACTTTATTTCTAGCTTTACATCTATTTATTTGATTATCATTTTATTAAGCTAGTGTTCATATTGAGTTTAGTTGATTTGAATTCACTCATTGTTTACACACACCTACTTGAGCTTATTGTATTTACATACATTGTATATTTGGGTTGGTGAGAGTTGTAACAATTGAGTGTGAGCTTTCATTGTGTTCTCATCCATATTAGAAAACAATCATTTATTGTAATTGTACTTATTGTGAGATTCACTTTGTAATACACTTGTACATTGAGAGAAGTGTGTAGCGAGAGTTAGGGATCATCCCAAGAGGAGTGGCGTCGGTTAACGAACCTAGGGAGAGGTTATATCCGAGCACTTGAGGGAGACCGTCTAGTTTAATACTTGAGAGGGTGTAGAGTGGGATTACAAGAGTGTGTTAGTTGTAGAGTTTTCGGTAAACTAGAAAACCGTATTGTGTGGTGTAAACGTTATTCGTGTGAACGTAGAAAACCCGGTTGTGATAGTGGAGATCTCCTCGAGGTGAGGAGCGAAGACGTAGGTCAAGTGGTTAGACCGAACTCCGTAATCATATCGTTTTGTTTGTGATTGCATTGGCGTTCTTATTCTTGTATTCATATCTTATATTGCCTTTGTGTATTACACTTCATATTGCCCTATCACTTTGGTAGATTGTTTATTTCACCCTTGTGTTAGTTTGTATATCCTTGCATATAATTCATAGTATATCTCATTGCTAGGATATACCCCTTAGTTCATATTGCTCATCCTAGCTCATATATATTGTTGTATTTCATACTTGCTAGGATAACTTATTAATTAATTTTAATTGACATAAAATCGGATTAGATTAGCATAATACCTTAATCACCCTCCTCTAGGATCTAACAATTACTACTACATTACTTTATTCTCTATATACAAATGTTATAATAACTTACTTTTCAAAACAAAGTGAGCCTAAGAATTTATTGTAAATGTTGCATCCATGGTGATTCATGGATCCTGCGCATCATTTTTCATCAATTCATAATTTCATACTAACATAAATGAGATTTCTGATGAAATGTTCTTCGACTACTGTGAACAAAAATGTCTAATCCAGGCGTTCACTTCTGGCCAAATCTTAGAAGAGGCAACTATTATTATATTGGTGTTATTATTATTACTATTAAGGTTAAAGGAAAATCTCAGCTATTATATACAAATCTAATGGAAAATTCGCCATAAGCACCATCGTTTTCTTCAAGCATACATGATACACTGCCTCCTAATAAATATTTGGGATAATGAGATAATTTAAAGTTTTAGTTTCACAATTCATGTGAGATACTTGATGACGTGGCACCTTATTATACTATAATATTTATTTATCAATTAAGTCTAAATTAATTTATCCAATTGATTTAGTATATTATTTAGTAATTAAGTTATTATAATATAGTATATTATTTCACTTTATAGTAAAATATAATATGTTATACTGTAATTACTAATTAATTATATCTATGTTGAGAGTTATTAATGTTGGAAATTTACCAACTTTAAAGGTTATAGCAAGCAGATAAATCCGAATAAAATAAATAAGAGATAAATAAGAGATAAGAAAACCAGGCCTGACGGGAGCAGTCGTGTAATCACTGCCCTAGAAGATTGAGAACCCGTCTATCGCCCTAGCGCAAATGGTTCTCTCCCCCCTAGCGGTAAAAGCCCCCGGAAACGGCCGGCCTCCATACTCGGGCGAGAGTACAGAGCTTCAGCTCAGATGAAGAAGATTGCCCAAAAAATTAATAACAAAATTTATAAAGGGGAAAAATAATTTTCTTTAAACCAGAGGAGAGGAGAAAAAACTTTATTTTCTTATGTTTTAGAATGTGAATAAGGGTGTATTTATAGGGTTGAGGGAGAGAGGATTCTTTTTAATTTTCCGATGTGGGACTAAAACACAAAGGTGAAATTGCCTTTTCTTAATAAATATCTAACAGTCCCCACCCAAAAGGAAATATTGACTAAAAACACAAAATCAATAAATAAATCAATAAATCACAAAAAGAAAATAGGTTGGGCAACCTTACGTATCATGAATTCGGGAGAGTTAGCTTTCAGCTTTGAACCTTTCCTTAGTGAGTTCATCACCACCTGAGGGACATAATGGACTAAGCCTTAAATTAGGCCCCTTGAATCAGGTATTGATAAAAACACACACAATACGTCTTCAACTATTAAGCAAAGTGGGTTGAGCGTTAAAGGCCATGCTCACAATAAACCGACTCATGAGAGTTTCTAGGGGTTAGCCCAGTCCCCCCTAACCGCGGCCATCATGGTTCCTCTCACGTAGATAAGTCCTCAAAGGGTACTACAGCTGTTTATTTAATACCCCCCATAATATACACGTTGGACTTATTAAGAGTAAAACTCAGCCTAGCCAGCTGTATCATAAGAGCATCGTCATTATAGAGTATCATAAGAGCATCGTCATTATAGAGAAGGGGTAGTAGCACAAGCTACATAGTGATATATGAATATATCTGGGTCGATGCTCCACACGAGTGTCACTAGTCCAGCTTGTTTCTACCACATTGAACCAACATTGGGACTACATCTCCAAATAAGGGTTGGGTTGCCGTTATCAGTGACCTCATCTATGGGCTTAACCCCATCTCCCTCGATGAATCTAGAACCACACTCCTGGATAGACCCTTTGTCAAAGGGTCAGCAAGATTCTTTTCACAGATTTTACAAAGTCTAGAATCACAACTTTGTCTAGCAGGCGTTGTATTTATTTATCAAGTTCTTATTTTGTAATTAGTCCATCATATTGTTTGAAATTAACATTAGGTCATGGTCTATGATCATAAAAGATCATAGTCTATGTCTGAAGATGTAAACACATAGTGTTTGTGCAGATTAGGATTTGACCTTAATATCTGAACATTTCAAACTAATGTGGAACTAAAATTCTGCAGTTATGCATATGCACATACATGAATGAAATTAATAATAGATACATGCAGAGCATTCAAGAGAACAATATATTTCATACTTCATAATTCATATGCATAAAATTTTTTAAAATTCTTCTATTATAAGAGGTTACAAATTGGTTGCCTACAAAGAAGACCTTCCAAATTTAAATCGGTTGCCTACAAATGAGACTTTCCAAATTTAAATTGGTTGTCTACAAAAAAGACCTTCCAAATTTATGTTGCCATTTTCTAGTACCACCTCTTATACAAATAA